GGATACAAATTATTTCATATCACTTGTATTAATACCATCTTACATTATTTTATTGTAAAATCACATATGTGTAAACATTAAACCAAATTAATCCTCTTTATGTTGAATGCTTAATGCGACTATAAAACCAAGACACATGGAGTTCTACTCAAGCCACAAAAAACAATGGTGATCTAGCACTTCCTGTATTATCCTGGATAAAGCTGGAGCCCATTCTACTAAGTGAAGTATCACAAGAATGGAAAAACAAGCACCGTAAGCACTTGCCATCAAATTGGTATTAACTGATTAACACCTTTGTGCACCTATAGTAGTAACATTCATCAGGTGTTGGGCAGGTGGGTTGGGGAGGAGGGGATGGGTATATACACACCTGATGGGTGCGGTGCGGCCATCTGGAGGATGGACACACTTGAAGCTCTGACTTGGGTGGGGCAAAGGCAATATACGTAACCTAAACATTTGTACCCCTGTAATATGCTGAAATAAACAATTTAAAAAGAACAAAAAATGAATCAAACAATACAATAAAAATTCAGATTTGTCATATTAATTCAATATGACAGTTAATATTGTCCCAAAACTGTAACATTGCTTTTAGTGTCCATAGTTCTTTTATTTTCACATATCTATGTTATATAGTAAGCCGTGGTATGACTTGATTCTTCTAATTCTTTATTTCTGGCGTGAACACTTTATTTAAATATGAAAGCTTCATCCATTCTTTCTGCATTAACCCAAATAATTGTTATATATCAGTATAGGCAAAATGCAGAACAAAGATTAACAGAAACAATAGAAATTGATAAGCTACATCATCCAGGTCTCATATTATTTTCACATATTTTTTTATAATATCATGAAAGTAAAAACACAGAATTAAACATTCTCATTGTTAACTTATAGCAAAGACTGTGAATTTGAGAACTGTTTTGCCATTGTAGGAAACGCTGACCTGTGGAATTGAGTCTAAACACCACAGCAAGGCATATAAAATTCTCAGTGTGCTGCCCTTTCTCTTCTCATCTCTCCAGGCTCATCTGTTGGACATTCGCTGCTTCGACACTTACTACCTAGCGTTACTGAGCTCACTAGACTGCCCTGTGTGTATGCTTTTGCTTCTCTGTCTACGTCTTTTTTCTCCCAGTTTTTTTTAATTTGGTTCTTTCTATTTCTAAACCATCTTTCAAGACCTAGCCTAGGTATCATCTTTTCTAAAACCACTTCTAGAACCTATAGAACGTTTCCCTGTTCTGTGGACTAGAGGCATCTCGTGCTCATCTCTAGACTGCCGCCTCCTCTAGAGCGGTGACTATTTCTTCACTATACCGTGAGCTTCTTGAGAGTAGACAGCACACCGCTGACACCTAGCCCAGGCCCTGACACAGAGTAGTTACTAAGTAATAAATAGTAAACCGTAGTGAACAATTTTTAATTAAAGAGCTGTTAATATTTCTGGTCACCAGTTGGTTTTTTTGATGTTTTTTGGTTTGATTGTTTATTTTCTATTACTCAGTGTTGAATATACTTTAAGAAAACATGGTATACTTAAAAAATACATTGGTTTTAGAATCAGAGGACTCATGTTCATATCCTGTCCTGTTATTTGCTCTTGTATATAAAATGGGGTTAAACGATCACCCTTCCATACCATTTTTGCAGATGTGGAAAATCCTGGCAGTGTCTGGCACATGGGTATATACTCAATAAATGTTAGTTTCCTTCCCATATTATTGCTTTACTTCTTTTAATGGCCTTTGTTGATTTGAAATTATTATTGTTACCAGTGAAGCTTCAAATCTATGTACTTCCTTATTGCAGTTAGATTGAGGTCCACTATTAGTTATTTTTTCTGACTAAGCTTCAAGATTACTGTATAAAATAGATGACACAGTCAGTCTTTCCTTTTCATCCTTGTAGGGTACTTCATTCCCTTTAACTATTTATATTCATTCAGAACATATTTCTTTTATTTTATTGCCACAGGCATGAGGGAACCTTTCTTTGTTCTTATTACCTAGAGAAATCTGTCTTCCTCCATCTCTTTGTAGTCTGTTTTCATCAGAAAGCATCTACTTTGAGAAACATTTCCTTTACCTACATTATATTATTGAGTTTCCTTTTTTATGCTCTCATATGGATATTAGAAACTATAGCTTTAGTTCTTTGGGTAAGGGGCTTAGTATTTACCAATAAAACAAAATTTATCATAGAGGTATGTCATGTGGAGTTAAACAATATGGAAAATTCCTCTAATCAGTGAGTTCTTAGCTTTTACATATGTTTTATAAATAAAGATGGATATAAGGTGGATCTGAAGGCAATTGAGACAGATGTAGCTGATGCCTACAAGGGGAAAAAAAGTAACAAAAAGACTGCAGTTTGCTTATTATAGGATCAAATGCCAACTGCAAGCTACAGAAGGAGTTACAAGAAGAAAATTCTTAATAATAGACACTTACTGGTACAAGACAATTTGGGCTAAATGGAAAAGAAAAGCTTCACAGATATGGGAATAACCAAAGGATGCACTAAGCTACCTAAGGGATGCAGTCATTGTCACTAGAGGTAAAGTATCTGAGTTAACACCACGAGCATAGGAATATGAACTCAATTCATCATACAGCAGCAGGCGTGAGTCGAGACCCACTAGAGACCGCTGTCACCACAGATCATCCTCTGGTCGTGCCTTCCTAAGACTGAGAGCAGCATGTTGCACAGGTGCTTCTGCAGTGCCGTAAGGCTGTACCTGCACACCTGACCCACTGCACCTTCAGCCTACTGTCCGAATTCAATTCTAGTTAAAACCTTGGTGTCTTTTGGTGAAGAGATTCATTGCTGATGGGAAATATCTTTGAATATTTGGAACCTCAGAAGAAATTAACTTGGCTCGATGTCTGCTCCGATTGTCACAATCATGAAGAGTCTCACTTACCTTAGGATCTTGTCTTCTAAGTGGGGGATAAAGACTTCTGAGCTGGCAAATCTCAGTGAAGAGTTGTAAGTTTACATGTACTGACCTCAGGCCCTTTTATCTCTGTGTTGCCTACATTTGGGCCAGAGTTAACATATGTCATTGCTAAAGACTGAGCGCCGTTTAACATTTTGCACAAAGGAAGAGAAATAGAAGGAATTCTTCAATATGTTTATGCTTCCAGATTTCTTGTAACTATCTGTTTAAAAAAATAATTTGGACTATTATGAAATGCATATCTGATTTCATTATTTTTGACTCGTTCTTAGTATTCATTTTAGCTGCTTATGAGGATATCAGTATTCATTTATATTTCAGATTGGTTCAAAAAGTTCTTTCTATGCTTTTGTGCCAGCTACTTTATATGCAAAGTTACATCCCTTGCTCTTGGAGAACCTGCAGTCTATTGGAGGAGAATAAAAAGATAATTCCTTAAGATAATGACAAGGCAAACCACAGGCTAGAAGGAATTATTTACAAAAAATATATGATTGAGGATTGTTATCTAAAATATATAAAGAACTCTTAAAATTCAACAATAAGAAAATGAACAACCTGATTAAAAATTGTCTAAAAGTTCTGAAAAAGATACATCACCAAATAGAATATGCAGATGGCAAATAAGCATATGAAAATATGTCCAACATTATATGTCATTAAACAATGTGTACACTTATTAGAATGGCCAAAATCCAAAAGACTAACAACTTCAAATGCTGGCAAGGATGTGGAACAACAGGAACTCCCTCTCATTCATTGCTGGTGGGAATTCAAAATCATACAGCCACTTTGGGCAGTTTCTTACAAAACTAAACATATTACCATATAATCTAGCAATCATGTTCCTTGATAGTTTACCTGAATTAACTGAAAACTTATGGTCAGACAAAAAGCTGCATACAGATGTTTATAGTTTTTGACAATTAAGTATTTGACAATTATGTTTATAGTATTTGACAATTATGTAGTCATAATGGTCAAAATGTGGACACAACCAAGACATTCTTTAGTAAGAGAATGGATAAACTATGATATATCCATATAATGAAATATTATTTAGCACTAAAAAGAAAAGAGCTGTCAAGCCATGAAAAAAAAAATGGATAAACCTTAACTGCATATTACAAAATTTTTTTAAAAAAAACCAATCTGAATTAATTCAAAATATATGATATTCTGGAAAAGGTAAAACTATGGAGACAGTAAAAAGATGGTTGCCAGGGGGTAGCGGATAAGGAGAGATGAATAGACAAAGCACAGAGGGCGTTTTAGGGCAGTGAAACTATTCTGTATGATACTATAATGGTGGATGCATATCATTATATTTTTGTCAAAATGTACAACATCAAGACTAAACCTTAATGTAAACTGTGGACTTTGGATGATAATTATGTGTCAATGTTGGTTCATCAGTAGTAACAAATATACCATTCTAGTGGAAGATGTTGACAGCTGGGGAGGCCATGGGTGTGTAGAATCAGGATATATGGGAACTCTCAGTGTTTTCTGCTCAATTTTGCTGTGAACCAAAACAGCTCTAAAAAAGTAAAGTCTACTGTAAAAAAAACAAAAAAAAAACAAAAGAAAAAAACAACAACAAAGATAATGCCTCAACATTAAGTGCTATGACAGAAGAGTTATAAAAGTGAGGGTAGCCCAGCGAAGAGAGGGCTTATTCAGCCTAGGAATAGGAAAAGACTTCACAGAAGTGGAGACTTTAGAGTGAAATTTCAAAGGCAAGTGGAATTTTGCCTATACAAAGGAAGGCAAGTGTTATAGGCAGAGAAGACGAAGAAGGAAGGAGAAGAGGCGTGGAATACTCTGAGAGGTTGAACAACTGCCCAAGTTCATAGAGCTGCTCAGTGATAGAGCTGCACCAAGGAATGGTGTAGGCAAAACATTCAAAGAGGGAGAAACTGGATGAAGATCAAATATCATTGCCTATTTTCTTTTTGTTTTTCTAGGACCCTTCTCACTACAATAGACCAATAGCTGCAATCAACTGTCATCCTATCACACCTTCATCATGTTTCCCTTCGCCAGAAGTGCACTAAGTAGTCTCAAGATTCGAACCATTCAGCAAAGTATGGCGAGACAGAGCCATGCAAAACACTCACCAGATTTTCATGATAAATATGGTAATATTGTGCTTGCCAGTGGAGCCACTTTCTGTGTGGTTGCGTGGGTGTTCACAGTCACACAGATTGGAATAAAATGGAACCCATCCCCTATTGGCAGAGTTACCCCAAAAGAGTGGAAAGATCAGTAACCATCACAGTTGCTGTAATACAAAATTGTTCCAAAACCGACTTGTCATGTACGCAGTCTGCTGATCATTAAAATACAGCATAATTGAAGAAATAAAATACATTTGAAATCTTTAAAAAGTCATTGCAAATGGTCATTTTATTGCCTGGAAGCAACACACTGGCAGTGGGTACAGATTACCAGGGATTATGAATAAAAAATATTCGATGACCTGCAGAAGAAGTTAGTTCCCTTCACTCTGGAGCTGCGTGTTCACCTGGCATAGGACTCAGAAAAGGTGAAGGAGAAGAACAGGTAGGAGTTTGAACAGTAGGTCCAGGTCCTGTTCCTTGTCAGTGAGCCAAGCCAGAAGGTCAGCAACAGATCGTAGAAGTTGCCGCAGTGTCGGGTGCTCTATGCCAGCCTTCTAAGTGTAAAATGGTTGCTCTTTCATGTTCACTTTTCCTGTCTTACGTATTTTTCTCTTGTGGCCAACCCTAACCTGAAAACATAAAGGGAAGGAAATAAGTAGTTCAAGTTTAACAAAGTTGACACTGAGAAAGCCACAGTAAGCTACCCTGTGTCAACTTGACATCAGCGCAGGTCTTTTTCTAACCATACCCGTACATCAAATAAAGACAGTGGCAAAACATACTTCCACCTATCGTAATGCAACTTTCCCTCATAAAACTAAAAAACATACTGTCTCCCCAAAAGAGGACACAAAGTGTGTGTGTTGTCTATATATTAATAGGTAGAGGTAGATACATACACACATATATACATATATATTTTTAAGAGCAAAATTATTTTAAGGAACATATATATATGTAAAATCATTATGATACTTAACATTTTTGGGCTGCTGGTTTGTTATAATAAAACTTAGATATTGAATCTTTTTCTGTTTCTAACCTTTCCACTGGAAACTATATTGAGACCATATGCAAAACATTAGATGAAAGCCATTTTGTTGTTCTCCATATGTCTGAAAACTAACTTCTGAATAAATTTATCAAATTACCAGCCACAACGTAAATGTTATATTGTCCAACACAATTTGTGGAAAATTATTATACATTATTATTATGGGAAAAATGTTATTTGATGGTTATCAAGCACATTTGCTTGCTGTCAGCGGAGACAGAGAACTTCATTTTGACATATGTTTCCCTTTATTTGGAAAATCTGGGCTACTGGGACTCCATTTTGCTACTGGGCTGTGGGTAAATTTGAATAATAAGTGGGGAGCGAATAATTAAGATTTGCCATATTAATGTGCTGTTACAGTTGTTAAAGGATTAAATGTTATTTGAAATTTACAGTAATTCTATAAAGTCCTTAAGCTGGTTCTTTACCCTGTTGAATAAATTTATACCCATTACTAGCCATGGGTTTAAGTAACATGTAAATCACTTAAAAACAGAGACAGACAGCCATATAAAAATGGTGATCTAGTATCTTTTGTAACAACTTGGGTGGAACTGGAGACCATTCTTATAAGTGAAGTATCGCGAGAATGGAAAAACAAACACCACATGTACTCAATACTAAACTGGAACTAATTGATCAACACTTGTGTGCACATGTGGAAGCAAAACTCAACAGAAATCAAGTAGGTAGGAGGGGGAGGAGAGGGAGGGTAAATTCACACCTAACGGGTACAATGCACACTATCTGGGTGAAGGGCACACTTACAACTTTTACTCAAACTGTACAAAAGCAAATTATGTAACCAAAACGTGTGTACCCCTGCGATATTCTGAAATTTAAAAAAAGATGGAGATAGAACTACATCTCTTGGCTTTTGGTCTACTGCTCCATTAGGAATTTCACGTGCTTTCTAAGAAAAGACAAACCCTGATCTTATCCCAAGTGATGATGGTAAATGGATTGATAAATGGTGTGACTGCATGCCAACTACTGGGAGAACTGGTAAGTAAAAGAGTCAGACTGGAGAATAGGGCCAGAAGGATGGCGTGTGTTTAACCAGTCTGATTTATGTGCAGCCACTTTAATGAGATTTGAATGTGAGGTCCACTATTTACTAGTTCTTGCTTCATTACACAACTTTATCAATAATAACAGGAAGACCTATCCAAAAAACTGTATAAATATTGGTCTCAGGTGTGAACAGTGGACAAAGAGATAAATCTCTGTCATGGAGTCTTACCCATGTCCTTTACTGGTTTAACAGATGCTCTGTGTGACATCTTTAAAGATGTGATGTGAGAAAGATGAAGTGGAGATGGCAAGGCAGTTATCAGTAACCATTGCTAAACCACATTTCAGCAATGAAATGCACCCCTTTTAAGCAAAATGTCTGCTAATTTTGGAAGTTGTTCAAGTGTCGTGATGGTTCCTCATTTATTACAAGTACAGAAAAGTGCATACATGTTTCACATACATCATAAAATCTGTCACATTTTGCAATAACAACAGTTGCTTTCCTCAGGGGATAACATTAATTTGAGCAGTATCTCTTATTTTCCAATAACCTTTTACATTACAAAAAAATCTGCAACTTCATTTTCTTCCCCTATCTGGAAACCATAGAAACCAATGTGAAATTATAGCTAAGAAGTTCGTCACTGGGCTATCTCAAGCTGATCTCCATGGAAACATTTCACATTTTCTTGAAATGAAAGATCTTCCAATCAGACACACAACCATAACTGATGGGTGTCTGACAAATATAACAACAAGAAGAAAGTATATGGATATTTTATTGGATAATATATACAGGAGATTTTTTAAAACTATTTTATAAATAAGAACATTTAAATAGTAAATATGATGCCAACTACAGAAATAAAGTAAAATACAGTTTAGAAAACAACGTTCTATTACTCTTTTTACACATTGTTTTTTCTAGATTTTTACATTAAAGATAACTTCCTAAAATAGTACGGACTTTGGATTCAGAAAAATCTCTATTCAGAGCCTAACGCAGCCCTTTAGCTATCTGGTTCATCTCTGCCATTTTCTTAGTATGAAACTGAAAGGTATAATAACTGATTTACAGAATTTGAGGGTTAAATGAGTTAAGGTAAATACTTAATAAGTAATTATACATTTAGATCTGGTAAAATGAATAAATAGGTGATAGAAGCATTGATGATGACAGTTCCAGCTTTGTAAAGAAGGGTTGTTAAAGGGCAGTACTGTTTTAAAGGATAGAGATTAGATATGAATGCCACATTCCCTAATATCAAGAGCTTTGACGATGATTTAACTTTGATAATACAAAGACTATCCCCAGTTCAAAACTTAGCTAATCTCTAAAAATTTACTTCTAAGATTGTTTGGAGCTTGGGTCACATGAATAGGGTAGGGGAGGGGCTTCTTTATATTGTAGGATTGGGCCCTAAAATAAGCCTATTTGTTAGGTAAAAATCACATTTTCAAAATTATCTTAAATTGCACATATAATTTAGTGCTCATTTTAATATAGCTTTCTGTTACTCATATATAAAATGTATACAGTCTACATTTGCCAGGATAGATGATGAATATAATTGTAGGATAGACTCAGTGTAAGGACATGCTCCTTTTGTGAGAGCAAAGTGAAACCAAGAAAACACTCAGGAGCATGTAGACGAATTGAGCAGAACAATAAATAGAATTTTCAGCCCTGTGTACTTTTTTTGTCTCTATTATTCTATATCCATGTCCCAGTCTCTTAGTTTCTCCCTACCTCTCGCTCTGTGTGGCTTTCCTCTGACTCTGTCTCTATCTTTATCTCCAAGCCTGTATAGTCGAATCTGATTTAGTTAAATACATATATGATGTGATTCCACTATATTACCATAGAAACAATATTAAAATTAAGCAGCTTTTAAACTTTTTCTGCTGTAACACATGCTGAATAATGGATGTATGACAGACTTCTATGAATGTATTCAGAATGAGATTTTTAAAAAAATAGGGAAATAAAGTGATAGAAACATACATATTTTTGTAGGTTAAGAAGTCACACGTATTTATAAAAGTATTTTAGACATACAAAATTACATTGATCTAGAATTTCTCAAACAACTGCTAATGTTAAGGAAATAACTAAAGATTCATAAGCCATATGATAATTTATGATTACTTCAAGTATGTTAACAATGTATTTTTAAAAATTTTGCTTACCTCAGGACAAGATGTTTGCAGTTATGATACAACTTCAAACACATCATTTTTGTTCTCACACCTTTCTGTCTAAATGAAACATTCAAATGCTGGTGTGTAAGAGGGGCATGTACTAGGAATAACCTTAAATTCATTCCAATTTCTTTGTTTCCTGTATATATATCTTTGCCCCCTACCTACTAAATCATCTGTGAACTTGAGTTTTTAACTGTTAATAATACATTAATACTACGTCACCTGATGTTAGGAGAGAATAGTGGTTAGGTTCATAGACCATCCAAAGTTTATCTCATAAGTTCTCTAAATTGCAGTGCCAAGAGAATTTTTGCAGTTCCAGTAACTCTATAAATTACTCCCAAGAGTACTAAATAATAGAGGCTGACATCCCCAATTGGATGGGATAGGACTTCTGATCTCACATTCATTTCAAAAAAATTATAAGTTAATTATAAGTATGAAACATTTCTCATATATGTGAAAATTAAATTTATCAACATATTTCCAAAGTGCTATATCTGAAATGCAAATAAATATGAATTATGCTTGTTATTTTTCTAATGTGACAACATGTATTTGATGAGTGTGAGAATTGTTCTGTAAAATTAAGTAATAGTGATCACTTTACTTTATCTAGATTGACCAAATCACACCGAAATTTGGTCAATGTGATTGAAGCAGATTTCAACAAAAAAATAGTTTCCTTTATTTGCTAAATGTTATGCAACTTAAAAGTGGTCAATACTTGAGTTATTAGCCAAGAAATGAAGAAATTTAGGGTGATTATGTGAAATAAAGTAAAAATGATGTTAATAGCACTTAAGGAAGTTTATGTGACAATTTTAAGAAGAGAAATGTATTAGACATGTATTATTATGCACAACCGATATAGCATGTAAAATTTTTAAGCAAGATTATTCA